TATCATCTTCTACATCTGATGCTAATGAATAATAATTTTCCTCGTCATCTGAATCGCTATTATCATCATTATCTAATGTAGAATCATCATTTAAATAAATAATTTTTTCTAAATCATTACGAATGTTTAAGGATAAGTCATTTAATTGAAAAACATTCTTCGTTTTCAAAAGCGAAGACATTCCTAATTTTTCAGCAAAAGATTTTGCATATTCATAAGCATCATAGATATTTTTCTCTATGTTGTCTAATGTAAGCTCATTTAAATTTATTAATATTGATGAAAATGCATTGCTTTGATTTTGTTTATGATGCTTAGGAAATTTAATTTCACCAGAGGTAGCATTAGATTCTTCAAAACATTTAATTTCGTTTAATATTGAAATTTTTCTTGTTTTGGAGAGAAATTGTTGAACGGTGAAACTTGTCATGGTTGAAAAGGGCCCAGTTAATGCTCTAGCACTACGAAATATATTTTCACATGGCTGTGAACTAAATAGGAATATATTCAATGATTCAATTGGCAACTTTTCGTTTAATACTAATAGTGAAATAATAGTTAACATATGAGCATTTAACTCAATCAAATGATATGCTGGAAATGTCATGAAATGGTGTTCTATTGCTTTGTAAGATGGCATTTGATTTTGTTGAATTTTTCTTTGTTCCTGAATCATGAGTTTATATCTTATCCATGTGAACCAAAGTCTAGAAATAAAGACGGTTGACCATGCATAAAATATTCTCATTAATATATTCGTTGCCTTATCAATATAAGTAATAGTTACAAAACGTAAAATTGTTAAATAGCAATGTGTTCCAAATGAATTTTCATTTTGATCTAACATATTTAAAACATTAAGTGATGAGATCTTTAAACAGGATGCATAATTTTGTCTATCTTTTACATATATATCCGATAAAACTAAATTATGATCTAACTTCGAATATTTATCTATAAGATTTTGCAGATCCTTCAAGGATATTTGATAATCTCCCATAACTAACGAAGCAGTTGTCGACAGCAATCGATTTCTCAACTTTGTTGCTAAATGAATTGGATCTTGAAAGCACAAAAACAACTGCTTTGTGCGTAAAAAGAACCAAGACCATGAATTTGGAATGTTTATTTCAAAAATGTAGTCTTTATTCAATAAATCAATATTTGGTAGCTGTGCAAAATATCCTTAATGATTAAAAATTATTAAAAAAAAATCATATTTTGAAGATTAAGCTAACCTGTTGCTAGCCTCATCGCTTTTAAATATTTCGAATCGGCATCAGAAGAAAATCCAACAATTCTAATATTTCTTTTTTTGCATTCTTCAAGTATAAATAACCAACGATGAATTATTGAAACTGAATCAATATGATTATCAGTACCAAAACTAGATAACAAAAACGGTGTAGATCCTATACTAGTTATTGGTTGAACTGTATGCAGATTTACTAATGTTGATTTTTTAAATGTTTCAAACCATTCTTCTAATTCAAGAAAATCGTCAGTTTGATACTGACGAAGCATTGGTATACCAGCTCTTAATTCTGAACAGAATCCGACAAACGAATTACTCTCAGCATCATACTGTATTTTACTAATAACACCGGTACAATCTTCAGAAGCATATGCATAAGAACAATTAATGTTTTTTGAAGAATCATTCAACTGATCAAAACGAAATTCACCTTCTTCTATACGTGTACAATATTCATTATTGTACGATTCTATTGTTGGTATAGATGGAAAAGCACCCGGTAAATTTAATCGTAAAAGCTGATAAACATTTTGACCGCCTAATGCATATACTGACGATGCAAATCGTCGTGTACTTTCATTGTATTGATAACGATATTTAGAACGATTCATATTATCAGACATATTATTAATGAATGTATTTACAAAACTACTAGGGTGTGTATTTGAATTTTGGTTTTGATTTTGGGAGACATGTGGTTGTTGTTCATGTAATTTATTTTTCAGTACATTTATACAATAATCAAGATTTTCTTTTATAGCTGGACGTATCATATATTCACCACTTTTTAATCGTAAACATGCACGAGTTCTTAAATCTTGTAATTCTTCACAATCGATTTTAAATAAAGAAAATAAGTCTTGTGCCCGTAACAAAGAAGGAATATTGTTGATTCCCTGAGCTTTTAAAATTTCAACTTCAATATCACTAGTCATTTCTTCTGTGAGATTGAAAAATTGATCAGATTTTATTTTACTAATTTCAAAAAAAGTACTATTATTCATATCTAAAAAAAATTTCTATTCAGTATATCCATAAAAATAAAGGAGAATCGCAAATAAGAAAAACTTGTATCAAAATTTTAAAAAAATTAATTCTATCCTATATTTAAACAATGCGCTCGACATCAGTGATCTAAATACGATGGATTTAGAAAAAAAATTAAAGTTTAATAAGGCACTAGGGAAAGGGAGCTTTTTTCAAGGAATCTACTAATATCTTGCAAGTTTTCTTTGTTAACACTACAAGTCTTAAAATGAATGATAGCTTTTAAATTTTTTGTTTTGTTTTTAGAGTCTTTTGAATAAATCAATAGATATTTTCAAAGTATTTTTTTCAAAAAATATAACCTGCTTAGACACGCTACTAATGATAAAAACTATAGTGTTAACCAGAAAAAAAGAATATTTTTTTCTTTTAGTCTTATCACTGGAAAACTTTTAATGTTCTACCTTATAGAAATTTTTCAAAAGTTACGTTTTCATGGGAGCTCTAGTACACAGGCAAATTTAAATGATTATTGAAACGAGTAAACAGTGGTTTTCCAAACGATTTTCATAACAAAAAATATATCTTGTTTATTGTCTAATTTATATTTATTCAAAATTATCCTTCTACATAAAATATACATCGAAATAAGAGCATTTTAAAGCGGTGATACATTTATTTTCATCAAATTTAAGACATTATTGCTTGAAATATTTGGTTTGATAAATATTTGTCTGCCTATTCCATTGATATTGGAATTTCTATATTATTGAAATAAGTTAAACTTTAGTTTTTGGTAAATTTCAACAGAACTCATTTACTGAGAAAATAAAACACATACTTAAACTGTATCATTCTTCTAATTGCATCTCTTAGAAAGAAGTATTTATACGTTTGAGACTATTCATCATGTATAATTAGTGATCTTCTCTCGTTCATGTAATCTATTGAATTTTGTATTATTATCTAGCTTGCTTTGTATTTCTACCGTTCTTTAATGACTAATGAACTGTCTCTATCAATATATTACGAAAAGAAACGCATTTTGTTTTCCTATTCAAGTATTAAATACAGCTAATAGTGCTTATGAATATGATATACTTTATATATTATTAGAGTAGATGAATATACTACTTGAGAGAAAAAAAATTAATACGCATTTAGAAACGGTTATAATTACTTTTCCAAAACTTTTTACTTCAAGTACTTGCAACAATAAAATGAATTATCCTGTATGTGCCCGACTATCTCACAGAGCTCACATTCATTGTCAGTTATTATGATGCATTTCTAACCATTCCGATTCAATCCAAGGCATTCCGACCCAATCCGATCCATTCCAATCCATTCCGATCCATTCCAATCCATTCCGAGCCATTCCAATCCATTCCGAGCCATTCGAATGGCTCGGAATGACCTTTTTCCCCCTTGGGTCCCCCACAGGGATTTCTTGAAAAACACCGAATTTTGGGCTAACTTGGAAGAGCTCTATCTCCTACAATTCTGAAAGGTGAAGTCTAATATTTTAATCACTAGTAGTGTCCACTTAGGTCTATTCA